TGTCTCAATAGGTTTGTAGAAGCCCAAACTCTACATATAAGGTGTACTTTGCATGTAAATTGATTAATAAATGAAAGCTCTGAAGTACTTTGAAGGTGTAAATTACTTTCCAGAGTAAAATAAAGATCCAAGTTCGGCCACCTGTAGCTGAGCTTGACTTCGACAGATTTCGTTCATAATTGGCACCCTTGCAGATAGGCATCCATTGAGCAAGGTGTGCAAGTTTCATATTAATCCCTTGATAACAAACGAGAAAAAAAAATTGGCCAAAAAAAAGAAAAAAAAAAGAAAAAAAAAAAAAAATTTACATATAAATATATTGCACATACATATTACAATTATTACAAGAGTTTGTGCTTCTACAGCACATAGTAGACATTTTAGTTGACACGTGTTTCCTGAGATTATTTGAGAATGTTGAACATTCGTTGCATAATACGTTGTGTATTTTTTTTCTCCTTTTCTGTTTAGGGTGTGATGGTGAAACTTGGACCAGTTGCAGCCCTTTCTATAACCATTTCATAAAAAAAATTTATAAGCAAATTGAACAACTTTGAATTTATAACGATATGCCCGCTTATGGCACCTGTTACATGTGTGTAGTTGTGTTGCACAAGTACTGGGGTCATGAGATTTTAAGCATCTGGTGTATTTGTGCAACTCCTTAAGACGCTTTATTCTGGTTGTACGATCAGGGTAAGATACATTGGTAAAATTAATATTCTCCTAGGCAGAACAAACAGTCTCTCCATCCCGTAGTAGTTTTATGAGTAATCCTTTGGTGTTACAGTGACTACAGGTTTGGAGGGATTTACCGTGTATGTACCTATGCTGCCGTCCTCCATTTTGGAGTGGAAGTTGAGATTTTATGATTATTAGACTTGTTTGTGGTACCTTTAAGTTTCACTGATTTATCAGTGATTGACCTGTCAGTGTCAGATATTATTCTGTCATGAGCTTTTAGCCAATTAACAGTTATTCGTAATCCCTCAAAAATCTCATCAAGAAATAGGTTATCTGTCCTATAATGAGAACAGATGGAGGCTAGAATTTCTTTAGGGAATTTTCTCTGAATCTCTAATTTTAACACCTATTCTGTCTTTGGTACATCTGCCTTGGCACCAAGAGCTTTGACTAGAGTCTACTTAGAGTCTAAACTCTTGAAGAGGTTCAGGTGTTGTATCTGGTGTAGGCATTGTTCTCAGTTTATGGTAGAGATTATCTATAGCAATTATTTGTTACTATAGATGACTTCTAACAACTGTATGGCAGTATTGTAGTCGTCATCACATGGAAGCAGATGATCAATAACTGCCTTTGCTTCTCCTTTAAGGGTACTTTGCAAATAAAGGAATTTATTGATTTTGTTAATGGAACCTTTAGAGTTCACTAGTAAATTGAACGTATTCCAGTAACGTGCAGTTTTCGTAATCTCTGCCATGAAATTAAGGTAAATCAATGGCAGGAAGAAGAGCTTCATTAAATGGTTCAGGAAAACTAATTCCACTTATTGTTAGAGCATTTTGAGAAACAGAGTTTATGTTTAATTGTTCTAAGAACGGTATTAATTTATCGAGACGATCTAAGACATCCTCCTCAAATTGTTCCGTTTCGGCATGGAAGGTTTCTAGTTTGTTTGGCTCAGCATTGTGTTTCATGAGGATTTGAAAATAATTTTCTGCAGCCTCATTGGTTCTCTGTAATTTTTGTTTAGCCACCTCTATGTGACTTTCAAGGACTTTGGCTATCACATTTGACTAAATTAACTGATCACACTTGTTCAATTGTCGAGTCATATGACCGTTATGATCCACGTATGATCTAAGGTACAACATACAGTTGCTGGACATTTCGTCTGTTGCACAGCCTGCTGAATTTGGTTTGGTTGGGCCCATAATTTCATAGTGGAAATAATTGGGGAACTGGCTTATAAACTTGGATCAAATATTTGGTAATAATAGTCTAGGGTTGTAGTTTTCTGCAACTAGGCTATTTAATCCTACCACATGTTGAGTTTGGCACACACATATGTTATATATATATATATATATATATATATATATATATATATATATATATATATATATATATATATATATATATATATATATATATATATATATATATATATATATATATATATTTATATATATATAGATATATATATATGTCGTACCTAGTAGCCAGAACGCACTTCTCAGCCTACTATGCAAGGCCCGATTTGCCTAATAAGTCAAGTTTTCATGAATTAATTGTTTTTCGACTACCTAACCTACCAAACCTAACCTAACCTAACTTTTTCGGCTACCTAACCTAACCTAACCTATAAAGATCAGTTAGGTTAGGTTAGGTAGGGTTGGTTAGGTTCGGTCATATTACAACGTTAATTTTAACTCCAATAAAAAAAAATTGACCTCATACATAATGAAATGGGTAGCTTTATCATTTCATAAGAAAAAAATTAGAGAAAATATAATAATTCAGGAAAACTTGGCTTATTAGGCAAATCGGGCCTTGCATAGTAGGCTGAGAAGTGCGTTCTGGCTACTAGGTACGACATATATATATATATATATATATATATATATAAGATTTGAGTGGTACTTGGTATCCCTATAGGTAACCCTAGGGTTAGTTCATTATAAATCACCTTCGGATGAGATACTTTGTAACACTCAGAGATGAAATACAATAGAAATAAATAAAAATGGTAAATATATAGAAAACACAATTTGTGTAGTTAATAATTCCCATCCTATTTTGGGTCTGCACAAGAGATTAAATATTTGCTAGGTTTTGCATTCTTTAGTACAACACTAACCTATTAGTAATCCCACTCTTGTTAGGTCAGCACAAAGAAATGGATTAAGCTAGGTTGAGCATTGTTTAGTTCAGCTCAAGCCTAAAGTTATCCTCCCCACATCTAACTAAGGGTTGGTGAGAATTTGATAATACAATGATATGCAAAAATGGAAAAGTGCAATATTTTGTTTTGATTTGCTTTTTATATAAGAAATATATACACAGATTATGTTTCGTTTTCTCGCCACAACCTCCTATGGTACTTGATGGTGTTAAGTAATTTATTCGCCACATATGCCCTCGATTCATGTGAGAAGTATACTCTGGAGAAATATTCTCACGGAATGGTCGAGCTGTAAAATGGATGTATGTGGCTTCCACCTGTACCCCTTCTTTTAAGAACATAATATATGTGATTAACTGTGCATTTATAAAACTCTGAACTAACACCCCCAACGAATATTTTCTGTTGGTTGGTGCGGTTCTATTAGAGTAAACAATATAGCCAATTTATTTGCCTTGAAAGAGTTAATTATGCTCCTGGGATGATTAATTGTCTCAGCTTGGTTACGGGATAGGTGTATGTCATAGCCATCTAGATAGATTATAGTTAAATGATGTGGCCACTCTAATGCTGCCGTTAATATTAGATTGTTTTGGAAGTTGTGAGTCGTAGCTCCTGGTGACCTAAATGTTTTCATTTATACTTCAGGTATAGTGGCAAGTTCTGTTGGTAGTTGACTGTGGCCCACAATTGCCTGACAGTTGAGTTGAGTATTGTTTTTAATTGTTAACTAAGGTAAGACAAGTTAGGCTAGGAAATTGTGGCAGGCTACTTACTACTATAGTTTATAATTCAATTATATACTGGTTCTTTATTGGAAATCCTGACATTGGCTCTCCGGTTCGAAATAGACTATAAAATATGTGGGGAATTTCCCAGCAGGTAGATTCATTAAAAGTAATTGAGGATATCGAGTGGACTTATTAGGAAAAAAAGTGAACTGTACTATGTTTCTTGACTTCTGCTGGGTGTTACCCATCACACAAATCTTGGGGGGTTATTCAGTGGTAGCTTATCGATCAATAATTCTCGATTGATAGGAAAATCGTAATACTGCTTAATTAACTACACTACTGATATTATTTTAAATATTCAAATGGACTTATCTGTCTAGAAGTATTTGTACTCAACGTGAGTACAAATGGGCATAGAGTTAATCAGACAGGTAAACAGCGAGTGGCTTATGGCGGCTGTCCCATATGTGTCGACTAGTTGATGTCGTCTGGGTCCCTAATGATCTCCACAGTTCTGTCAAAAATTTACAACGTAATTACTGCAAATATTACCTATCACAGATATATCACAGTCAGTAGTATTAGTTATTTAATTATAAGAGGTTCACCATGATTTTGGGGATTGCTTTCACTATAACCGGTCATCTATTTATTGTACTATTAAAAGGCCAATTAATATGATAAGGCTAGATATTAGAAAAACTGCATACAGGGTACACTCATAATTGGAGGTTGCAGCAGCTGTAGAACGTTGTAATTGCACGGATGTCGTAGATAAGCATGACTGCTAAGTTTGCTTCGTCACGAGGCCAGTTCTATATAAACAATCGTTCGCTTCCTCCCCTGGGCTTAGACACGTTAATAGTCACATCACTAATTTCTGCTCCTTTATTAACGAGGACAGGAAGACATTATTTTATGCATTATTTTATCAGTTCCAATTACATAAAACAGTTTTTTACTGTTTGTAATGCTGGCTTGCAAGTTTCCAAGAAAGTAAATTATACTTAATATATTTGAAATTTATGACGTGACTATTTCATCTCCAATTGACTCGACTAGTCACGTTGGGTATATTTCGCCTTAGGGAGAAAGTTACTTAGTTCTGTCTAAGCTTTACTTAAGTCCAGTATAATATAACACTTTTAAAATATAATTAAATTGTAGACTGGAAGAATTAAGAATTTGTTAGAAATAATAGTCACATCGCCAATGTTGGCTGACGCAATACTTCTCCATGCTTTCCAAGGAGCTTCTAGACCTTTCCTCACTGGAATATTAATGCAGTTAGTATGGCTAGTTTTCTGACATAACGAATTTAGCATATTATATCAGAGGTTAGTAATTGGGGTGTCGGAAATTTCCGGCACGCATAACATCTACCATGTTGACGTCAACAGGTGCGGCAGGTGTCATGGTGCGTGACGGTGGTGGTGGTGAGCGACGACCTCGCCTTCCTCGCCACCTTCGCCCAGTGGTCCCTCAAAGGCCGCCTGGTGTGGTCAACGAGGCTCCTGGTCGTCACCCACCTCCCCCTCCACCACCTGCAGGTCCTCCATGGGCTGCTCTCCATGACCAACTCCATGCTGCTTATTATTCATGACTCACTTGATAGTTTCAGGTACGTAACTGCATGATGGCATTAGGTTTTCCCAATTAAGGTTAGGCTAATGAACTATTTTTTATTATTACTAATATTTTCCGAATCAATAACAAATTGGTTAATGACTATGTGCTACACACATGTACTCACCGAGTTGTACTCATTTAGTTGTGCTTGCGGGGATTGGGCTTTGGTTCTTTGGTCCTGCCTCTCAACATGCGTCCCCGCACAGGTGTGATATGTATGTACAGCTGCCGTACACTCCCAGGGATGCCCAGGCACTGAAGGTGGCCTCATGGGTGCCCCACCGAGGCCTTGCTCTCACCTCCAGCCTCCAGCTCTTCCCTGACAAGTTCTCAAGGTGAGTACGGTACTGTCCCGGCGAAGCCCAGGCGCTGTAGGTAAGTAATTATCAAAAGAAGGTTCAATATCTAGGAGATTATTTACAACCGGTCGTGCCGTAGAATAATCAAAAGGTCCTCACTATAATACAATACGTCAAAACAAGAGAACAAAGACCAAAAGACAAGTTGAAGTAATAGTATTGGGCTCACCAAGGATACTACTGAGTGTCACGTAACAGAAATGTATATCGGGAAAGCTATGTGTTCCCCTTCTAAATCTTCATTCGTCATTGCATGACTTCTTAATAAATGATTCCATTTCACATAAGATTAATTGTCTTATTAATTTGATTTAATATTAGTAATATTTTGGTGAACATTAAAAAGTTGAGTTTGTTATTAATACCTGTACAGAATTTTTCCACAACTGTGAAATATTTGATGAGAGAGCAGTAGTGCATGCATAGTAGGGTAAATATTTGTAAATTCCATATTTTTTCTGTTTTATAGTCTCTGATACCGTACTTCACGAAAAACTCGCTGAAAATTAGGAGACCCCTGGTATTCTGTCGTTATCCTAAGTATGATTAGAGCTTTATTAATGAAAATCGAGTATAGAGTTAATATAGACGGAACTTAGTCCGCTTGGAACTAAATCATCAGAAGCAAAATACTTTTTGCTACTAAAGATTGGTCTCGCCAGATTATTGGATATATGGGTTTCATAAGACTGTATATCCAGGGCAAGGCGCAGGACTGGGTCATAAACCTAGATAACATCTGCGTCTCGTTATTGAGAAGACAGTCCTGGATTCAGGATTAGAACAAGATAAATGGATATCCTACAAGCATACCTCCAAGAGTAATTCTGACTAAAAATTCACTTGTAAACTTCCGTTGTAAAAACTTCCCTTGTAACACCCGATTAACACTTCACTTTGTAACACCAGCTTAACGCCAGCTTGCCAGACCCGCTTTGACCCAAAAGTGTACTGAACAATACTCTGCTAAATGTGAACCCTAAATATGAGGACCTTAGACATAATACAGGGTACAAAACACAATCAAATGTGCCCATAGTAGGAAAGCAACATGTAAAGGATTTGGTAATAATGATGTCTGACGACCTAACGTTCAGGGAGCAAAACCAAGCAAATATTGGGTCAGCCAGAAAAATGATAAGATAGATTACGAGAACTTTCAAATTAAGGGATACCATCACAATGGTTGTACTGTACAAATCACTTGTACTGTCCCGTCTTGAGTGCTGCTCAGTACTCATTTTTTCCCTTCAGAGCAGGAGAGATTGCTGAAATAGAGGGAATACAGAGAACATATACGGCATACATAGACGCGATAAAGCATCTAAATTATTGGGATCGTCTCAAAGCTCTCCAAATGTACTCACCTGAAAGGAGACGAGAGAGATACCAAATAATATACACATGGAAAATACTGGAGGGCCGGGTCCCAAATCTACCCAGTAAAATAACAACATACTGGAGTGAACGATATGGAAGAAAATGCAGAATAGAACCAGTGAAGACCAGGGGTGCCATAGGCACAATCACAAAACACTGTATAAACATCAGAGGTCCACGGTTGTTCAACATCCTCCCAGCGAGCATGGGGAAATATTGCCGGAACAACCGTGGACATCTTCAAGAGAAAACTAGATAATTTTCTCCAAGGAGGGGTCGGACCAACCGGGCTGTGGTGGATATGTGGGCCTGACGACCGGTCCAAGCAACAGCCTAGTAAACCAAACTCTCACAAGTAAAGTCTGACCTCGGACCGGGCTTGTGGAGTAGAAGAACTCCCAGAACCACCATCAAGCAGATATGTATTCTTCTCAATGGGGACACTCTGCTGTTATGCCTTAATAATAAACACTGCCACATCTTCCCTACTTCAGGTGTATGACTGGATTACTGCCTCCCAGGGAAGACGGAGTCCAGTAATAAATAATCGTTAATGACGTAGGAACTATTAGAATTTAAATATAAATATGGAAATTCTTTAATAACTTCCTAAAGACAAAGGAGACTTAATATACTCCAAATAGGATACCTGGAGGTTATCTTGAGGTTACCTTGAGATGATTTCGCGGCTTAGCGTCCCCGTGGCCCAGTCCTCGACCAGGCCTCCATTTTGTTACACACCCCTTAGGAAGCAGCCCGTAGCAGCTGTCTAACTGCCAGGTACCTATTTACTGCTAGGTAACAGGGGCATCAGGGTGAAAGAAACATTTTGCCTATTTGTCTCCGCCTCAACCGGGGATCGAACCCGGAACCTCAGGACTACGAATCCGAAGTGCTGTCCACCCAGCTGTCAGGCGCCCAGGCATCAGGCGTCAGGGACACAGGGAAAAAGTCAAAACCAATTGGGTTCTTTAAGACTCAGAATTAAAGATTCTTGATATGATTTACTAATAAATCTATGCATTTAATTAACCGACAGTTAGAAAATTACATGGAATATATTTTCAATGTGCTGTTAAACATATTTTATAATATTAAGAAAGTAGATTTTATTAGTAATTACTAAATGAATGTTTTAATTAGAACTCGTAATTGGCCTAGATTTTCCAGGATTACTGTAGTAAACTAAGCATTGTATTATTTTATCTGTTGTTAGATTTCTTCAGCGGCCGACTTTGAAGCTGGCGACGGAGATAAACTCACTGACTGTTATAGTTGCCGAAAAGGAAGCTGGGACCCAAGATGGAGGGATGTTAACGTATAGAGGACCCACGACAGACCTGGTGTCCTACCTTGCCACAGCTCTTAACTTCTCGTAAGTAACTGTTTGTAGAGTCTGCAGCAGATGTATTTCACCCCTGGGGCATCAACCTATGAAATTTTCAGGGCTGATGAATAGGTCTAAATCTTTCTAGACCTGTAAAGCCACAGATCACTATATTGAAACATAATTGCATAATCTAGCCCCAACAAATACTACAGGCAACACACGACAAAACTCAAAATCCAACCCAGGAGGTTACTATGCGCAACTACTAAACTATACTCCAAAATACTAAATTACGATGGAGGAATTACCCTGCCAATTTTTCTACTGATAACCATTTAACTCAAGTTCACCATACTGCAGGTGAGGAAACACAGGAGGAAATGATGTTGATCGAGTTAGGACTGAGAAACTGATTCAGAGGTAGAACAACCGTAGAATTAGTTAAGAGCAAGGGAGGAATCCCAATCATATGTGGAATTCTTCCAAGAAAGGGAGTTGGAAATGAATCGTTGTCGAGGGCCCTTGGTGTCAATTGCCGGCTGGAGAGATTTTGCAAATCAAATGCAATATCTTTCATAGATAACTGGGAACACTTCTATGGAGGAAACGAAATGTATGCTCGGAATGGGGTGCATCTATCGAGGGCTGGAGGTGTTGTTGTTGCAAACTCGTTGGAACCAGTGGTTGGAGGCGTTTGTTTGGGTTTAAACTGTTAGTGATAGTTGTATGGGAATTGATATGGAGGAAGGAGGTAATAAAAGTATATGTTTGTAGGGAAAAGAAATTGGTAAAATGATCAGGGAAAGAGAAGGGCCTCAAAATAACAATACACTTAGCGCATATTACACTATGAGTAGAAGTCTATGAAACAAAATAAACGAATTAAATGCTCTTATCTCTGCAGAAAAAATAGATATTATTGCACTTACCGAAACGTGGATGAATGTAGAAAATAGAGAACTATTAGCTGCATATCAGATAAATGGATTTAAACTATTTCACACAGATAGATATATTAGACGAGGAGAGGGAGTAGCAATATATGTTAGGGACAATTTGAAATGTAGTCTCAGAGAGGGAATCAAAACTGAGCCACACACACAAACTATTTGGATAGAATTAAACGAAAAAGCAAATAATTTTATAATGGGAGTTATATATAGGCCACCAAATTTAGACAGAATGGAAGCAAAGGATCTATGGAATGAAATATCTAGAGCATCTAGGTCTAAAAGTAGTTGTGTCTTGGGTGACTTTAATCTTAGTGTAATAAACTGGATTAACAGAACAGGGAATAAAAAAGCAGAAGATTGCATTCTTATGAAACACATTAAGGATAAAACGTGTGAAATTAATATTTTAGATTTAGTGTTAACTAACAGGGAAACACAGATTAATGACATCGAAATTAAGAGTGTACTAAGGAACAGTGATCACAAAGGAATCAGATTAAGCATAGAATTGAATAGATCCGTAGGAGAAAATTCCAGATTTTCGTAAAGCTAATTTTAATACCCTAAGAAATTGTTTGGATCAAATAGATTGGAAACTCTTGGGCATAGGGGGTGGGCCAGTCTTGGAGGGACGTTAACTCAGCGATGTGTGATGTAAAGGAGGATTTGGATTTGGATTCAAAATATAACAAATTTATAAATATTCTAAGCAAAGCACAGGAAAATAGTATACCTTACAAATTGAATAGATCAAATACAAATGACCCAAAATTGATAACAAAAGATCTGAAAAACCTTATAGGTAGAAGGAGAGCTTGGTACAAAAGGATTAAGAATGGGGAATTCAGTTTAGAACAAGAATTTGCACAACTGGGGAGGTCACTTTAGAACAGGAATTCGTACAACTGGTTAGAAATGTTAAAAAAGAGATAAGGAAAGCAAAAAGAAACTATGAAGTTCGCATAGCAGGGCAAGCAAAGACAAATCCTAAAGGGTTTTTTCAGTTATATCGTACTAAGACTAGGGAAAGGATAGGTCCATTAAAAACTTTGACAGGTCAAATAACAGATAGTGATGAAGAGATGAGTAGTATTTTTTAAAAATATTTTGTATCTGTATTTACTAAAGAGGAACTTAACAATATGCCTTCAGCCGAACAAGTCTATGTGGGTGGGGACGAGGACAGGTTGACGAGTTTAGCAGTTACCAGGGAGGATGTTCTTAAACAAATAGTAAAACTCAAACCAAACAAATCCCCAGGGCCGGATGAAGTGTTTGCCAGGGTGCTTAAAGAATGCAAAGAGGAGCTTTGTGACCCACTGTCAACCATATTTAATAAATCAATAGAGTCAGGCAGAGTGCCAGAGTTTTGGAAAGTTGCTAATGTGATACCAGTTTTTAAGAAAGGAGATAGATCACTTGCGTCTAACTATCGACCAATTAGCCTAACGTCTATTGTGGGAAAGTTACTCGAATCCATAATAGCAAATAAAATTCGTCTTCATCTTGAAAAACATAAATTAATAATTGAGTCGCAACATGGTTTTATAAATGGCCGTTCATGTTTAACAAATTTGTTATCTTTTTATTCTAGCATTGTTGAGGCAGTTGATAGTGGTAAGGATTGCGATGTTGTATACCTTGACTTTAGCAAAGCTTTTGATACAGTGCCACATGAAAGACTGATTAAAAAGATAGAGTCTCATGGTATTGGGGGTGCTATATTAAGCTGGATTAGGGCAAGGCTATACCAAAGGAAACAGAGAGTTAGTATAAATGGAATCAAGTCAGAGTGGGAAAATGTTGTAAGGGGGGTGCCTCAGGGCTCTGTCCTGGGACCTCTGTTGTTTATAATATATATAAATGATTTAGATTCAGGTTTGAGTAGCAACATTTGCAAATTTGCCGATGATACGAAAATCGGTAGGGAAATTAATTCGGAGGAGGACTCACTATCACTTCAAGTTGATCTAGATAGGGTTTTGAAATGGTCAAAGGATTGGCAGATGCAGTTTAATGCTGATAAATGTAAAGTTCTGAGGTTAGGTAAGGATGATAGAGTTACAAGATACGAGCTAGATGGTGTTGTGATTGCGAAGTCGGATTGCGAAAGGGATCTGGGAGTTATGATTAGTAAGAATTTAAAACAAAAGGATCAATGCATAAATGTTCGTAATAAGGCAAATCGGACACTTGGATTTATTAATCGCAGCGTTAGTAACAAGACACCTGGTGTGGTTCTCAAGCTATATCTTGCTCTAGTTAGGCCCCATTTAGATTATGCAGTTCAGTTTTGGTCGCCATATTATAGAATGGATATAAATTCACTTGAACGTGTCCAGCGTAGGATGACTAAGTTAATTCCCCAAATTAGAAATCTTTAATATGAAGAAAGATTAACAAAGCTTAAGTTGCATTCACTGGAAAGGCGAAGAGTTAGGGGCGACATGATAGAGGTTTACAAGTGGGTGAATGGACATAACAAGGGGGATATTAATAGGGTATTAAAAGTATCAACACAGGACAGAACACGAAACAATGGGTATAAATTGGATAAGTTTAGATTTAGGAAAGACTTGGGTAAATACTGGTTCAGTAACAGGGTTGTTGATTTGTGGAACCAATTACCGCGTAACGTGGTAGAGGTGGGGTCCCTCGATTGTTTCAAGCGCGGGTTGGACAAGTATATGAGTGGGATTGGGTGGTTATAGAATAGGAGCTGCCTCGTATGGGCCAATAGGCCTTCTGCAGTTACCTTTGTTCTTATGTTCTTATGTTCTTATGTTAACTGGTTAGAAATGTTAAAAAAAGAGATACGGAAAGCAAATAGCAACTATGAAGTTCGTATAGCAGGCCAAGCAAAGGCAAATCCTAAAGTTTTTTTTCCATTTATATCGAACAATAAGAACATAAGAACATAAGAACAAAGGCAACTGCAGAAGGCCTGTTGGCCCATACGAGGCAGCTCCTATTCTATAACCACCCAATCCCACTCATATACTTGTCCAACCCGTGCTTGAAACAATCGAGGGACCCCACCTCCACAATGTTACGCGGCAATTGGTTCCACAAATCAACAACCCTGTTACTGAACCAGTATTTACCCAAGTCTTTCCTAAATCTAAACTTATCCAATTTATATCCATTGTTTCGTGTTCTGTCCTGTGTTGATACTTTTAATACCCTATTAATATCCCCCCGGTTATGTCCATTCATCCACTTGTAAACCTCTATCATGTCACCCCTAACTCTTCGCCTTTCCAGTGAATGCAACTTAAGCTTTGTTAATCTTTCTTCATATGAAAGATTTCTAATTTGGGGAATTAACTTAGTCATCCTACGCTGGACACGTTCAAGTGAATTTATATCCATTCTATAATATGGCGACCAAAACTGAACTGCATAATCTAAATGGGGCCTAACCAGAGCAAGATATAGCTTGAGAACCACACCAGGTGTCTTGTTACTAACGCTGCGATTAATAAATCCAAGTGTCCGATTTGCCTTATTACGAACATTTATGCATTGATCCTTTTGTTTTAAATTCTTACTAATCATAACTCCCAGATCCCTTTCGCAATCCGACTTCGCAATCTCAACACCATCTAGCTCGTATCTTGTAACTCTATCATCATTACCTAACCTCAGAACTTTACATTTATCAGCATTAAACTGCATTTGCCAATCCTTTGACCATTTCAAAACCTTATCTAGATCATCTTGAAGTGATAGTGAGTCCTCCTGCGAATTAATTTCCCTACCGATTTTCGTATCATCGGCAAATTTGCAAATGTAGCTACTCAAACCTGACTCTAAATCATTTATATATATATATATATATATATATATATATATATATATATATATATATATATATATATATATATATATATATATATATATATATATATATAACTGAAAACTCACACCCCAGAAGTGACTCGAACCCACACTCCCAGAAGCAACGCAACTGGTATGTACAAGACGCCTTAATCGACTTGACCATCACGACCGGACAAAATGAGGTGATAGCCGAGGCTATTTGAACCACCCCACCGCCGGCACTCGGATAGTAATCTTGGGCATAGCATT